CCCTGCCCCCTGTCCGCGCTCCCCAGACCCCACTCCCCTGTCCCCAGCTACAGAACTCTGTCCCCACTCCCCTGTCCCCACTCCCCAAACTCTGTCCCCACTGGCACCCTGTTCCCTGCTGCAGAACCCTGTCCTCTGCCCTCCCAGCACCCTGCTCTCTCTTCCCTGCCCCCAGCCGCAGAACTCTGTCCCCACAAAATGTATAATTATAAATGCTTCATTTTAGATTTAAATAGTATGAATAAAAAACAGACCATTTATTTCATAACTATAAACACGTGATTTTAATTGTATATATCGCATAATTTTAAAATAAACTGTTTATCAGAGTGTGTAAGTAAGGGCTGGGGTAGCAAGTGACAGACAGGAGGAGAATAGAGAGGGCTGGGCTTCAAGGAATGGGCGAGGCTTCAAGGAAGGTGTGGGGCAGTAAACCTTCACATGTTCTGAGATTTAAAAAGTGATCTTGGGTGTAAAAAGGTTGGAGACCACTGATCTAAGGACATATCTACATTAGGAAATTATTTTGAAACAATGTATTTTGAAATAATAACTCCCGAAATAACTGTTTTGAAATAGCGTGTTCACACTTCAGGGAAGCCTCGAAATTAGTCTGAGACAGGCTCCCTTAATGTGGATGCGCTACCTCGACATAGAGCTCCAGGAAGCACTGGGGAGTAATTACTTTGGATGACTCTAGGGAGTAGTTATTTCGAAATAGCATCAGTGGAGCGTCGACACTACCGCTATTTCAAAATAACTATTTCAAAATAAGCATTATTCCTCGTGGAAAGCAGGAGTTATTTCGAAATAACAAGCCCATTATTTCAAAATAATTTCAAAATAACAGGCTTGGTAGTGTGGCACTCTGCTTGTTATTTCAAAGTAACGTCCTAGTGTAGACCAGAGCTAAGATCTGAATTACCCATTGCATTATGTTATTTGACTTCAACTGTTAAATAAGCAGGATTTACTGAGCACCCCAGATTAACCCTGGTAGCTCCCCACTCTATCCCACACCTCCTCCCATGAGTTTAGGGAAAGTTTATCTTAGGATCCAAGATAAAGGATCATTTTTTGTTTTAAATTGTGCAGATGAATTGTAATCTACTGTGGCTACAAAATGTCTCCAGAATTAACTTAATCCAAGTTGCGATAATGTGTAATGACTTTGCACCCTTGTAGAGTGAACCTGTTGTAAAAATGGGCCAGATTATTTTTTTCTCCTTTTTAAAATGGAATTTGGAAATGAGGCTGGGTTTAAAATAAGTAGCAGTTATGAATGATGACTTTTCTCCCCCCACCGTCCAGAACTGATGTATTCAAGTGCAATAAATAGAACATGGTTTCATAGCTTCAGTTTGATTTAGGCTTTTCTTACGTTTAATAGCAGCCATTTTAAGGGCTGATGTACTGTGTTTTGGTTGGTGATTTTGTTTTTCTGTTTTTGGCAGGTCCACTAAATATCAGCCCTGTCTAAATGAAGAAAGTGCAACCACTAAAAACTCAACTGTAAATTGCAACAATAATCAGTCTGAAGAGGTTGATCAGCCAGCACCTAAGAAACTGGAAATGGGGCTTAATAAGGATACTGCTGTTACCATTGTGGACAAACCTTCCTCTGGTGTAGTGGAGAACCTGATAGAAAATTGTGCTGAGAAGCACAGAGAGGAAGATGCCTCTGATATTTGTGAAAGACCTACAATTGCTGGTATTTCAGAACAGCAGCAGTCTAGCCTACTTAGTAATGAACGCATTGAACAAATGGACAGTGAAATTCCCTTAGCATCTGAAGAAAGTGCCTATGTACAAAGAGGGGACCACTCACAAGAAATAGGTGTAGAACATGAAGATTCTGTTCCACAGGTGGGACCAGTGGTGGGGATTCAACCTGAAAAAGTAAAGAAGTCTAAACTGGATAAACTTCGGGAGCTGGGAGTGGATCTGTCCATCAAGCCAAGACTTTGTTCTGATAATGACTCCATTATTATCCTGGATGAACCTGAATCAAACATAGGTACCATATTACCTGTTGCAATCTGCTAGATTTGACAAGCTAAGCAGGGATAGGTCAGAACTTAGATGGGAGAATTCTGAGGAACAGCACTAGAAACTGATGAATCAGAAAGGGGCACGCACACTTTCTTTGGAGAACTAATGTTACAGCACTGTGCTGGCCTTGCTGGTGGTTGTCAGATGAGATTTAAAAACAGATATTGGGATTCCTGTGATTGTTAAAGATCTTTCCGATCTTTCAGTAAGAGTTTATGTTTTGCATACTTCAAGTCTTCCTGCAGTACAAGTTAAATAAGGTGGCATTTGCTTTCTGTACTAAGCAGGAAAGCCAGTACTTTTCAACTTTGGTGCCTAAAATTAGGCCTCTAAATCTTTTTATTCAGATATTTGAATAAGTGACCTGACTTTCAGAGATGCTGAGCATGAGTATCTTTTGATTATCTCATCAGAAGTCATGGCTGCTCGGCAAATCAAAATCAGGTCACTTTTATTTAGCACTCTAGGCTTGTTTATACTATAGAGAAGATTGATGCTGCCACAGTTGATATTCTGGGATTCAAATTAGCAGTCTAGTGAAGACTGGCTAACTGTCAGTACAGTAGTCCTGCTTCTCTCAAGGAGTAAGGGAAATCGACTAGAGATGTGCTCTTATTGACCTCCTGCTGTGTGGATGGTGCCAAAACATGATTTAAGATAATTAAGTAGCTGAAGTGGAAGTAACATAGCTGGAGTTGCATATCTTAAGTGGACTTTCCCCTTTATTGTAGACCAGACCTAATAGTATAGGTGTCTAACTTTAGGCACCCATGTTTGAAAATTTCATCTGTGTTTCAGTGCTGGATAGGTGATCCCTTATCAGTTTGAATTTTTCATTTATTTCTACATACATTTATGAATAGTATTTAGTATATTCTTTAAATTATACAGAAAGATGGCCTGTGCCAAGAAATGATGCCTCCTCCGCTATCAACCTGGATTTAAAGATATATGTCAGTAAAACAGTGGAAACCTCAGATCATATGGGGGAGAGGGAAGGGTCTGTTAATGAAATGTAATATAGATACCCAAATCTCCAGTAAATAATTAGGAGTTTTTTAAAGATTTTTCACTGGCATTTAATCATGTGCCCAAATATTAAAGTAAGCGATCTTAAGAGCATGGTTGAGCAATGTTATCTAGAGATGGGCTACTGTTGTTAGTGTTATTTTCAGATCAAAGAATGTTGACCGTTCTTACATACTGGATGCTGAAGTGCTTTAAAACTTTTTTGTTTTTTTATAAAAGTCTTTCTTTAGAAACGTGTGTTACCACTGTATGTATATAAAGCGCCCAAAATTATCAGGTTTTTGTTGACTTCAGTTAACTTGATCTTAGAAGGAATTTTTCTCCTGACCTTAAATATAATACTTTTTTTAAAGAACTGGAAGCTCTGAAAGCACGTTTCTTGAAGCATACGCTTCATGCACCCAAGTCAAAAACCGAACGGACTGTGAACTTGAGTATTATTCGTAAGGAGACCACGGCGGAAGGAAAAGAGGAACTAAAAGCAGCTGTGGTGCCGGTGACTTTGGCTGCAGAAAATCTGGATGATACAGTTCATGCAAAGCCAGGTATATTTGGGGTGAGGGTCATAGCTGTTGAGCTGGAAAACAAGTGTATTTTCTTTGATAAGAAACTCTTTTTAATATCTAATATCCTACAACTTTACTGGAAGCCCAGTCTTGAACTAGAGTTTACTTTCACCAAAATAGAAGTACAAGATCATTCAGCTTGTTCTCTGGATCATCTAGTGTCTTGTTTTACTTGTGTTTGCCTTGTTGATTATAAGCTTCCCATGGCAAGAATGGTCTTAAGATGTTTCTTGTAACGTGTTAAACACACTGAAAAGTACAACTAGATGCTTGCTTCTGTCTCACACAAGGAGCTGTAATCATTGGGAAACATTCAGATTTTATGACGGGTTGATTGTGGTCAATAGACCATAAGGGAGTTTTATCTGTGATTCTCTTTGCAATTGCAACTATATTTTCCCACATAAAGCAAATTAAAATACAAAGAAGAATCCCTGCTAACAGAATTAACAGGTGTTGTTCCATTTAGCTACATTTTTCCAACCAGTTTGGCATGTTAGAAGCTAGAAAAAATAACTCTTGAGCTGTGCTAGCTACTGAAGAGGATCTTGCCCTGTGCCATAATTTAGCCATTGGCTCTCTGGAATCTCTTGCCCAGCCTGATGGTTTCAATAAAACATATTTATCTTCACTGTCTACATCAATCATCTGCATAAAACCTGTAGAGTAACCTTCTTGTGTTATTCATAATTAATAGCACTTTCATCCCTGTTGCAACCCTTATTAGAGGCTGTTTGTGTATTGGATCATTGTATTTGCATGTATTGAAAATGATAAATATATGGGAAACTTAATCTGAATCACCTATAATATTTAAATGTTAGAGGTAGGTAATTTGACTTATTCTACAACAGACATGCTTTGTAGCTGTTGGTGAGATATTTCATATGCCTGAGGCAACTGGAATCCACTTCTCCCACAGGAAGCAAGGGAAAGAAGAACCCTTTGTTAGCTCCATGGGTGTGTGCCAGTGGCATTTGTGAATAATGAGGAATCTTACTGATAAGTCACAAAGTTTTTGTACCTCTCTAAATGGAGCTTATTAGGCTAGGCAATTTAACTCTTCTAATCAGTAGATCAAGTCAGAAAACCTCTTTTTAAAATAAAGCATTGATGCCTTTCATCTTCTTTCTATGTGTGTCGTTACATTAAATTGTGTGCTGGAGGCAGCAGAGTTTAAGGCTTCATTGTTGTGCATCTAATGTATTCAATTATTCATTTCTGTCCAGGTGAAAAGCTACAAGTGCTGAAGGCTAAGCTACAGGAGGCCATGAAACTCCGCAGGAGTGAGGAACGCCAGAAGCGGCAAGCACTACTTAAACTGGATAATGAGGACATGTTTGAGGAGGAAGAAGAGGAGGAGGAAGAAATGACGGATGAGTCTGAGGAAGAGGAATGCAACCCAGAGGTCTCTACACGGCATTTTTACCTAACTTTTGTCAATGTCTAATGTCTGCTGGCTCCTCATAATTAGCAGGGAAATGAGATAAATCAGAATTGTGTGCAGTATTAATATGCACAATTTGCCAAATGGAGACTGTTCTTTGACACTAAAAATAATTGGAATGTTTGCAATTCCAAGTTCTCCTAGAACGGTGTCCAGTAGCTCTTTGTTTATTAATACTGGTCCTTTCTCGCGAATCCTGCGCCCCTAGCACAGAGGTCCCCCAAACTGTGGGATACTTCCCTTTCAGGAGAGCAGAGGACTATTCAGCACCCGCAGAAGCAGGGAGGGAGCACCAGCTGGTTGGATCTGTACCCCAGCCTCAGCTTCCTTATCCCTTTCTGCCTTCCCCTCCCCCCACAAGCTGAGGCCCCACTCCTGATGTTGACAGGGGGCAGAAGGAGAGGCATGGATGGGGTAAGGAGGGACATGACCCTGAAAAGGGGACCATTACACTAGTGTCTGGCTATGAAGTGATCTTTACCAGTCCATATGCTAGTTCAAGTTGATTGAAATCACTTCAAGTATATGATTAGTCAGAATCTTTTACAATTTATTACAGTGTTTTAATGGCTGATTGATCATATTAGCAACTTAAACCTTTTTGCTGCTTAGAATAAATGTTTGACTTGCCATAGTGGTTCAGTAACTCACCACGCAGTTTAGGTATGCTCCCTCCAGGATTGACTGATATCTGACCTTTCACATGAGGTGAAGCCCTTCCCTCTGTCTCATGTAGCAAAGTAAAGAGCAAAGCCTATAAAATATTCTTTTTAAAAAATTGTTTCATGTTGGCGATGCCAGTATTTTCAGCTCCTGGCTGCAAGAAATTTGATTCCAACAGGATGGATAAAGGCTTAAGTGCGATTCCTTGGCTGATTTCAGAGTTGCAATAGTGTCAGTCATGGAGGCAGTTTATGTAGATGGTCAAATTAATAATTCCCGCTTTCATAAATATGTGTGCGTTTTTTAGACTGTTGAGTTCCTTCTTGGTGAGGCAGAGGAAGATGATGATGAGGAGCTGGAAGAGAAGGAGACCAAAGATGATGAGAAAGAAACCGACAAAGAATCAGTTGATGAGGAAAGGGTGGACAAATCTGTGCATTGTGACTCGGCTCCCAAACTTTCCTCCACAGAGTCTACATTGATGCTGTTCAAGGACAGCTCCTCCAAAATGGGGTAAATAAACCAGGTTTTGAGCCTGCCTCAGCTATGTTTTATTCTGATTAACATACATATCCGATATTTGATTTGAGAACGTGTGGATTCATGTGTGTGCTTAAATATAAGAATTCCCACTGTCTGTCTCACCATTTGTGGTAGTTTTTAGGAGTATTTTAGTATCCTTTGTGACTGCAGCAGCCACATATGAAAATAATAGTTTGCATGTGAAAGTGACTCTATGATAGCAGTGATGCATTGAGTTAGTGCCCCAGACCTGAAGAAGAGCTCTGTGTAAACTCAAAAGCTTCTTTCTCACCAACAGAAGTTGGTCCAGTAAAAGATATTATCTTACCCATCTTGTCTCAATGAAAACCCTTGTCATTTGGCAGAAGAATCCAATTCCTAATGGCAGTGCATTCCATATGTTATCTTGTCTACAAAAAGAGCATGCCTGACAGTTCATGTACACAAAACAATACTTTTTAAAATTTCATCTGTTGCTAAATTGCAGATATTCCCTTCCTGATGAAAAAGCTGAGCTGGAGGAAGCTCCAGGCAAAAGATCTAGCAAGTTAGGTAAGGTGGAACTGCTGTTACAGCAAGCATTATTCTCTGGGGTTTTCAGTTCTGGCCCACAAGTGATTTGCACATTTCTGTGTCTAGATTACCATTGGGGTGTCTCACTATCTTATGCTTGCATTTGGTCTGTGAAATGCTGCTCTGCTACTTCTACTAAAAACTTTAACAATCACTAGCTCCCTCTGTGTGATGGGGCTTGGAGAAGGACTCCTAATACAATTTTTGGTGCAGGAAGTTTTGAAGCTGATATACTCTAGGATGTGGGTTGGATTTGAATTGTAAAATGTTATTTAATTAAGCATTTTAAGGGAACTGCTAGTGCCGCACTAGTTGTAACTGACTTTGGAATTTGAAATGAATTGTGAAAACTCTACATTCCTTGTTTGGGCCGCACTTCTAGTACAGTGGCTTTCCTAAACTCTCTTCTTTTATTGCTGCTTTCTTCCCTAGAAGACGAAGATTCATATTCACTGCCAACATCGGCGAAAGAGAACAGCCATAATAGCAGCTTTGAGTTAATTGGCTCCATGATCCCGTCATACCAGCCTTGTAACAAACAGATGGCACGTGGGGGCAATTTTCTATCTGCAGTAGGCGGTTTCAGGTCTTCCTCTCCAGCTTTGTTCAAAACAAGCTTTATCAGCTCTGCATCCAAGGTAAGTCTCCTCCCGCCACCTTTTTTCCCTTCATTGCACTCCCCTTCAAAATTCATATGTTCTAGGACTTATGGCCAAAGCCAAGGTTCCCTTTATTATACATCAAGAATATAAGCACAGCAGATAGCCAGTGCCCCCCTTGTGGTTAGTTGAGATTTAATCAATGCAAAATCACTGTCTTGACTAATACTTACCTCTTTTAACAAATCCACATGGGTATGTCTACACTTGCACCCTCTTTCGATAGAGGGATGCAAATGAAGACATTCGAAATTGCAAATGAAGCCGGGATTTAAATATCCCGTGCTTCATTTGCATAATCACGTTACGGTGCTATTTTGAAATAGCGCTATTTCAGAATACAAAACGCGGTGTAAATGCAGTTATTTCGGGAGGACACCCTTCTTCCAAAATAACCCTTATTCCTCATAAAATGAGATTTAACCGTTATTTCAGAAGAAGGTGTTCTCCTGAAATAACCGCATCTACACCACGTCTTGTATTTCGAAATAGCGTTATTTCGAAATAGCACCGTAACCCGATTATGCAAATGAAGCGCAGGATATTTAAATCCCAGCTTCATTAGCAATTTCGAATGTCTTCATTTGCATCCCCCTATCAAAAGAGGGTGCAAATGTAGACATACCCCATTAGAACAATCTGGGTTAGGGATGTAAAAGGTTAAATCAGTAAGCTTCACCCTTTAATGGGTGAGGCTTACTAGTTCCAGTTAATCGGTAGGGGCTGGAGCAATTCTCCACCTGCCTCAGGCAGCCTCACGGGGCATCCCAGAGCATCCCCCTTTCCTCCACCACAGGTTATACGCTGGCTCCCCAGGAGCAGTGCTCCTGGCCCCACTTCCCTGGGAGGCTTAGCTGTGGGCTCTGCAGTATAAAACTTATTTAAGCTTTATACTGCAGAGCCTACAGCGCATGTAACCACTAGGATTTTTAGCTGTGACATGATTACATTTTTAACCACATTATTACATCCCTTATCAAGGTGATTGTATTGAATACACAGATGAAATTTTACAAATTCAAAAAGTTTTGGAGGAAACCCATTGCTGAGTAATCTGTTCATGAACTATACAAAAATATCCCCATGGCCTATGCAGCATCTCACACTGGTGCCGTCTTAGCTAGGTAGCAGAACAGTCTGGCTTCTTAGTAATCTTCTTCTGTATTTTTATCTGTTTAAAAATGGCACAACCATTAACCCTTTTTGTTTCCAGTTGAAAAGACTGTGTTTATGTTCTAGTTCATTTTCATAACTTGTGATTTTTTTCCCCCTGCACTAGAGTTCAGGCAAGATGTCTGAGCCCTCTCTTCCCATAGAGGATTCCCAGGATCTGTACAATGCTTCTCCTGAGCCCAAGAGTTTATTTCCAGGAGCTGGAGAGTCTCAGTTTCAATTTTCTCTGGAAGATGATACTCAGAGCCAACTGCTGGATGCTGATGGGTAGGTTGCCGGGATACATCCTTCAGGTGGCAGTCTGTGTGTGTTAACAGAAGCAGCACAGATTTGCATAGTATGATTGGCCCAATTCTTTATTAATGATGGAAACTGAAGTGGCTAGTATATTGAGTCCAAAATGTGCCAATGCATATGTCTAACCCTCACAAATTTTATTTTTTTGTATTTTGCAAGTTTTTTTTTTAACCCTTCTTCAAAAAACCCTCCACAAATCTGAAGCAGGTCTAGATTTTAATTTGTTTCATTTGCTGAAATAGTGGTTACAATTTGAAAGCCATGTAATAATTAAACCTTCTTAATCAGCTGATCTGTTGAGCTCTGTTAACTTTACTGAGTAAAAAGACTTGAATGCATTTTACTCTTCCTAGGCAATGCAAAGCCATTACAGCTTTGGTTGCTCCAGATGGATTTTATTCTGCATCATAGATCAGCAGAACAGCCAAATTGCATTGACTAAACTGTTCCTACTGGCAGTACGATTAGAAAACCCAAATGAATTCTCTTATTCCAGATTGTGTTTGCAAGACTGGTAGCAAGAGAAGCCATCTACCTACATAAATGGAGCAAAGTTGATCTAGAATCAATGAGACACAAACATGGAACTCCCACAATGTCATGCTTAAAGTCACATTATAATGGAGAGTTAAGACTTTTTTGGGGGGAGTGCTGCTTTGTCTCTATAGACAAGCCATCCACATTAGTGTGGAAAGGCAAAATTCTCCAATACGTGCTGCGTATTAAATTGTAGCTTCTAACTTCTCAATAAAATTTACTTTCAGGTTCTTGAATGTTGGGCAGCATAGGAATAAGTACCAGTCCTCAAAGCAGCCGTTGTCACTGGCTAGCATGGATGAGAATGCCATGGATGCTAACATGGATGAGTTGCTCAATTTGTGTTCTGGGCAGTTCAGCAGTCAGGCTGAGCATACTCCAAATGCTAATAGTGACAACAAACAAAACATGGAAGAACTGCTCAATCTCTGTTCGGGGAAATTCATCTCTCAGAGTAAGTTTTTAGTTGTGTTCCCGGTGACCTTGATTTGTGACTTTTGGGAGTCTAAAGAATTTTAATAGTGTACTTGGAATCCTAAGAGTTTATAGTGCTTTAACTGTTTGGAATCTTTACAGACATATGTTGACTCTCATTTCCAAGACATTCAGTGATGTTCCAAAGACCAGAAGGAAGCTGTGTAATATGTTGCCTTTTGGTTTCTTTCTGTAGCAACATCTCCAATCTGGGCATCTTCAGTATCCTCTAAGCAAGAAAAAGAGAGTGACACAGATGATCCAATGGCAGAAGCACTAGCACTTTGTTCAGGCTCCTTTCCAACTGACAGGTCAGCACCACAGAAGTTCTAGGTCTGCATGGTGATCGTGGTCTGACTTCACTTCTGATGCCTCACTCTGGTTCCACAGCTGTTCAAAATCTATTGACACAGATGTGGTTTGCCTAGGAGCTGAAGGAGTCGAGTATCTCAGTGCTCTACAGTTGTATGTTATTGTTGAGAGGCTCTTAAGGCAGTGTAGTTCCCATGTCCATTATGAGGAAAGAGTCTCTCCTGCTACTGATGGTGGAGGAGGAAACTGGGCATAGAATTTGATCAAATCTAGATCACAGGATTAGGAATCTCTTGGCTTCTGTTGAGTGCATGAACTGTGGGCAAGTCATTAACTTCTGCCCCTTCATTTCCTTATTAAAACTGGACTGATTCATGGGCACTTAACAAGGATGTTATGACATTTAATTTTTGTGCCAAATGTAGGTACCAAGAAACTCCAAGAAATTCCATTTTACTGACAGGCAAACTAATACAAAAGATAATGGCTTGCCAACACTGTTCCCATTAATACTAATGGGAATTAACCTTCTAAAGCTTCATGCTCAACACTGTTAGGGCACGTCTATGCATGCAGGGCTAAAGCTGAGATACATTATACAATTGATGTAGCTGAAGTTGCGGAGTGTAAGTCGAAATAACTTATTTCGACTTTTGGCGCTGTCTACATAGCAGGAAGTCTGAGTTAGAGCACTCTTCCTCCGACTTCCCTTACTCCTTGTAAAATGAGGGTTACAGGAGTCAGAGTAAGGAGTCCTCCAGCTCAACATTATTTTACATTGTTGAAATAACTGTAGTATAGACCTGGACTGTGTTATTTCGGAGTAATGTCAGTTATTCCGAAATAACACTGCAGTGTAGACGTACCGTCAGAGACTACAACTTTTCAGATGCTATCATGGATATAGCTTCTCATGTAGCAGTTAAAAACCCTGCTTCAATCCATTTCATATCCATTGCTAGACACCAATTGTAAGTGTGAGATGTGGTTTGTTGCTTGTAGGGAAGAAGAAAATGAGGAGGAGCAGGAGGAAGAATTAGGCAATTTCCAGCTCTTAACAGATGCCCATGCCTTTGATAGCGAGGAGGTGAGTATTGATGGAATGAAGTGATAACTTCAGTGCACTGCTCATAAACATTCGGTTTATTTTCTTGGTGCTCTCGCCATTTGTGCAAAAGTCTAACTGGCTAGCGCGGATTACCGAAACTGCTGAAGACCAGTATTTTTGGGTCAGTGTAAGAAGTGCTGGTTTACAATTTTGATCTGCTAGGTAAAATATCTTGGTTTTGTGAGCGCTTAAACCAGGGGTGGGAATCCTTTTTTTGATCGGAGACCAGTGACCCAAAGAAAAATCATTCCAAGGCCACACGTAAGTGAGAAGCAAAACAAAACCCCTCACCGGCCTGGCCCTGGAGAAACAAAACAAATAACAAAAAAACAAAAAAAGCACACCTCACTGGCCTGGCCCCTGAGAATGGGGAAGGGAAGACCAGGGGTCCCCCAGGCACCAGCCCCATGGGGCCAGATCCAGCTTCCCTTGAGCTGGTCTGTGGTGAGGGTTGGAGTTTCCCTTCCTTCCCGCAGGCAGGAAGACTTGCAGCAGGGCTGGTGTGCTAGTGCTGGCTTGCCCTGCTGTGGGTAAGGACTAAGGAAGCCCCGAACCTCGCTGCCAGTTGGATCAAAGGAAACAAGAGTTCTTCACCCCGGATTTAGACTAAAACCTGAATTTTTCTCACTGGTTTTTGCTTTTAGCCATTGCGAAACAGGGCAGTTGTGACTGTAGGGACTAAACAATCTGCTGAATCTCGTAGGAATTTCTGAAAACCGTTTCTTGTTGACTGATAGGATGAAAAAAGTGAGGGTGACGAGAGAATTGAGAGAAGTGAAGATGAAGCAGAAGTTAGTGATGATGAAGAGGAGCTGCTGAGACAAAGAGAGGGCTTAAAGAAAAAATTGTGAGTAAATCTTTCTCCCTGTCTACCTGCCAGAAAAGTTGTACCACGTCACTAGTAATTTAGCTAATAGTTGCAGTTGAAAGGGCTGTTGAATTAAACAGCACAAGACCAGGATAAAAGTAACGGAGACCTTTTTTTATTTTGATGAAATAGTACTTCTCCTAATATTACCTATGACTTAAGTCTTTCAGTGGGTCATATAACACATATTATGGAAGGGAAATGACCTTGGTTGTGTTTTTTCCCTAGAAGGCTGTTGTCATCTTGTCAGATGGGTTACGGTCAAGGAAGCTCAGAATTAGAATATTAGTGGGCGCTTGCAGAGAACTACCTGGCAGATATTCCATACTTCCATGTGCTCTTCAACTTGAATAATGTAATCAAATTGAAAATGAAAATGGAATAATAGCATCTCTAACTTAGCACACACTTGTCAGAACCCACCAGGTCAGGGGACCCCAACCCCTGCTGCACTGTAGCACCCCACCCCTGTTTTGACAGCCCCAGAGCGGGCACATGGAACCCCAGCTGTCCCACAGCAGCCCCGGCAGGACCTAGCCCCCGGCCATGCTGCAGAGGGGCCAGGCAGGACCCTGGCTGCACTGCGGTGGCCCCAGCAGGACCTGGCCATGCCGCAGTGGCCTAGCGGGGGCTGGTGGGAAGCTGCTCCACAGCAGCTCCAGATGTGGCCTCATCTTGCCCAGTAAGACACCCGCCTCCCCCTCCATTTTAGCTGTCCTGTGCCCACCAACTGTTAACCGTTTACATAATATAATTTTAATCATTTAACTGGTTAACTATTTTGATCAATATTTACATCCCTAGTCCAGAATGACTTGGCTTTTGTTTTCAACCATTCACATTATGCAGCTGAATGTTCTCACTTTAACGTCTTTGGAAATTTTCTTATAGAAAACTGCAGGATTTCTTGGAAGATGAGGCAGAGCTGTCAGGGAGTGAAGTTGACAGTGAGGATGAATATGATGGTGAAGAGCTGGATGAATATGAAGAAGAGATTCTTGATGAAGAACTCCCTACTGAAGTGGAACTACAGGATCAAATTAACAAAATACACATGTCAGTAGTGATCCGCATATGCTTACACAGTACAGCAATTGCACATCAAAAGTTATAACAGGTTATAGTCTGGAATTGTAAAACTAACCTAGGCTTCTCTCCCTTGCACAATAACAATAGGAAGGCGATGCTTGATGATGATAAGCGTCAGTTACGCTTGTACCAAGAAAGATACCTTGCAGATGGAGACTTGCACAGTGATGGTCCTGGCCGAATGAGAAAATTCAAATGGAAAAACATAGGTATAATGTTGGCATATTAATCTTCTACTAGAGAGCAAAAAAATATGGCATGGGAGGTTGGGAAAGGAAAACTCTGCGGGAAATACTTTAATATGAGGCTTAAGGTTGTAAGATCTACCGAGCCCTAGTTTATTATTTTAATACACACACGTTGTTTGTAACTGGAGAGGGGTGGAACTCATTTTGACTTTTTTCTTGCCTGGTTGCAGACCACAGTAGAACCTTGGCTTGAAAATTTTGAAGAATAAACCTTAAGCCATTTTTTGGTCCTATGCTAGTGAAAACAGAACACTCCTGTAGAATCAATAACTTCAAGTTTATATTCAAGAAAACTTTAAAAAATAGCAGTTGTAACTTAAGTGTCTTTAAGTGGCTTCAGTATGTAAAAACTGTATATGCTCTTCTGTAGGCTGAGTCCAGGAAAAGGTACGAGAAAGCTGATGAGCCTGGGTTGGATCTTTTAAGTAAGGGGCGGTACGATTATAAAAAATGACTCCATTATAAGTTTTCTGCAGGACTTGAACCTGGAATTTTCAGCACAGGTGTCTGGCACTTGAGAAGGTTATAGGCACATCTCCAATCACGTTTTGTCAGCAGTAGGCTCTTACTGTGTTTGTGTAGCCACTAGAGGGGGATACAACATAGTCAGTTCGTTGCACACAAATCCTTAATATTTTTAGTAAGGCTTCATATGTTGCTGTTCAGGATTCCACTGTCACAACAGCATTGTCACAAGATACCATCTATATTTCCTCCCATAGCTTTCCTTTAAGGAGCAACTTACTTTTTTTTTTCCAAGTGTTGTGAAGTTAGGAATTCATTGCCCATGCTTGGATTTTGGTAACTGTTCTAGTCTGTTCTGACACATCCCTGTTATCTCTGCATTTTGGTGCAGACATGTTAAACAGAGTCTTATTGTTGACTGTTGTTGCCCATTTGCTTGGGACCTCGGGGAATGGTTAGTTGGACAAAAAGAAAAAAATCCTAAATAAATTCTGATTTTGTATTTCCAATAGAGTTGAAATTGTTCCTGATGGCTTGGTTTTAAGGTTTATTCTTGGGTATAGCATAGCCCACTTTAATTTGCTGGGACAAAATCCATTTATAATAGATTCTGTGCCTTCTATGTAAGACCTGTTTATTCACAATGGTAGAGGCTGGAGCAGGGGTGGGCAATAATTTTTGATGGGGGCCACTCCAAGAATTTAGTAAATGGTTGAGAGCTTCACACGTCCATGATATTAATGGAGGAAGTGCACGGTCTGGGATGAAGGCTGGGTGCAGAAGGGAACTCGGGATAGGGGGATGGGGGTGCAGAAGGGAGAGTGGGGTCTGGAAGGAAGGGGTTGTGACCTGGGGCATTGAATTGGGGTGCAGGAGGAGATGCAGGGTCTGGAAGCAGGTTTGGGTGCAGGAGAGGATTCTGACTTAAAGGAGGGGTGTAGAAGGGGGTACAGAGTCTGGGAGGGGATTGTGACCTGTGCAGAGGGTTGGAGTGCAGGGACTGGGCGATGGCATGGATGCAGGAGTAGGGGTGCAGAGGGTTTGGGTTGCAACCTGGGGCAGGGGTGGGAGCAGAGGGTTGGGGGAAGGAGGAAGTGAGTTCCAAGTGCATGTTCTGGTCAGGAGGCACTTATCTTAGGTGGCTCCCAGCCAGCAGCCCAGTGGGACCCTCAGGCAGTCTCCCTGCCCAATGCACCCACGCACACCATTCAAAGTGGCCATTTGTGGGGACCATGTGCTTTCTGCGTGCTGTATGCTCTGTGGGGGTGGGGGAGACTCCACGTGCTGCCTGCACCACAATCTGGGCCCAAGCAGCTCCCATTGGCAAGTTTCTGGCCAATGGGAGCAGCAAGATTGTGTTGGGGGGAGGGGCAACACACAAAGCCCTCCCCCCCGCTCCGCCAAGAATGTTGTTTACATATATGCAAAGAACACACATTTTATCTGCAGAATGTGCAAGTGCCTGGTATTAGTTCTTTACACTGTTTAAAGCTGGTGTTAATCTTGTCAAATGAAGCTTTCTAAAACTCCTTATAGGAAACATTTCCCCTGGATAATTCATCAGTGTTTTTCTAAATGCTTTCGTTCCATCTGTCATCTATCTAAATGAGAAGAAACATCCTGCATGTAATTCACTTCAGAGATCCACTGCCAAGATTTAGTTTCAGGAGAAGAGAATTCTGGGAAGAAAGGATGTTGCTGGAGGTTAACTAATTCTAATGGCTTCTGGTGTGTGCGTGTTTGGTCTTCATTGTTTCTGGAATTCTTAACGGACAGGAGAGCTAATGTGCATTCCTCAGCCCCTTTGATTGGGAGAACTAACTACTCTGTCTTCTTTTCTAGATGATGCTTCCCAGCTGGACTTATTTCACAGAGACTCAGATAATGATGAGAATGAAGAACAGCTTGAAGAGACAGAGACAAAATGGAGAAAGGAGCGATTTGAACGAGAGCAGTGGATCCGTGAGCAGGTATTGTGTTAGTCTGCTGAAAGACTGGCTGCTCAGTACTTCTGTACACCATTAGCAAAGTAAGACAGACTGTTGGCAGAGCTCTCGTTTTGGTTGGCTCTGTTAGTTAAAAATCATATCCATTCTAGTGTGTACTTCTCTCTTATATAGCACCTATTGCTTTATCTCCTGCCATTACATCTGTAAAACTCCCCTAGTGAAAGGGGATACTCAGCTTCTCGAGGTCATGCACTGAGTTGGTGGCAGAGCCAGAAATCCTGTTTTCTACTCCAGAATCCCAATTCCTAGTTCTATAACCTTCCAGATCATGTTGTTTTAATTAGCATAGGGTCTGAGGAATGAAATCTGATTGGTATCTTGCAGCTTTGGCTATTGTAATGGATGATGATATAAGAAATGAAAAACTTCAGAAAACTTTACATGTTGGTGTATCTGAAAACCGATGTAGTATATTCAAGTCACTGACTGACTGAAATGTGTATTCTAGTTCTTATCATTGCTTGTTTATGAATTATCACTCTAAAACCCATCTCTTTTTATCAGATAGAGAAAGGAAAACAAGAAGAGGAGGAGGAAGAAATTGGTGAAGATAGTCAGTTCATGAAACTAGCAAAGAAGGTGACTGCTAAGTCCCTGAAGAAAAAAGGTGGGTTTGTTTCATGCTGCAGTGGCATCCAAGAAGGAAAAAAACCCTTGACTAGCTATTGACTGTTCCTCATACTAGTGAAATTTGCTATTAGGCTAGATATCTCCACCCAATCCCCCCGCCATGCCAGTCCAGTTTTGGCTCCAAGTTTGATGGTGCTTTGACTTGTCTGGCATTAAATGCTGCAGCTGCAAACTTGATGAAACAGAAGATCTTTTTCTTTGCTAAAATAGTTCTTTCCCATTAATTTTTTTTAAATTGTTACAGTATGGCAATATGTCCATATGCTTTCCGTCTGATTCCCCTTTTGGTCACTGCCTCACAAAGAATCTTTGAGGCTAGTGACATTCAGCACAACACACTACTTCCCAGAGCGCACACTGCTTAAGGAAAAATTGCATAATGTGGTTTAAATCAAATTGTATATTCTATTTTTAACATGCACATGGCAAAAATGTGATTCTGAGATTGCATAACTACTTCAAAAATAAACAAGTTCCCTGCCAGGTGATAAAGATTTCATTGCCACTCTTGCTAGCTATCAGTTATATGGCTCATTGGTCAGTTTAAAACAGAATTCTGTCTGCATCATTTATTGGAATAGGACTGCTGTCACTTGTATTCCACTGTCTGGTATAAAAATGTATTCTTTCTAATGATATTCTGGAAGTGAATTTATTTTCTGTGTCTCCACCACACACCAGGAAACCCTGTAGCAGCTGTGCAGGAAACAAAATCACTGCCAAGAAATCCCTTTGAAACATTCAGACGTACCTGTGACCTCCAGGTTGGTACCTTCATGGCATGAACTTAGAGGTGTATTTTCATGTTGCAGCTACAGAATGCATTTAAACAATAGTTGACTGATCAGGTGTAGAAGAGTTTGGGGAGAGTGGAGGAGCAATGTTTTTGACTTTAAAGAACAGCAGCATATTAAAACGATTCATCTCATGTGTTAATGTGAAATTCATTGGTTGTCTTCAGCTAAAGAACGGATCACTTCTGAACAGACCTAAAGCCATCCTTGAGAAGCTTGCTGCCATGTCAGACCTTAATCCAAATGCTCCCCGAAACTCAAGAAACTTTGTCTTCCACACGCTTTCGCCGGTAAAGAGTGAAGAGGCAAAAGAGAAATCAAAACCGCAGGTAGAGACTTGTAGGAGGTGCTAATCGTGTCAGTTGGCTTATGTTGCTGTGTTAAAGTACACTCAGTTAATTGGCAGCATTCTTACTGAATGTTAGAATGTGCAAATTCTTAATAGGCAAATAGTGTACAGAAGTGGGTTTGTAATATAGAGCCCTATGCACATTTCGCCACTATTTCAAGCAGAATGTGCAAATTCTTAATAGGCAAATTGTGCATAGGGCTCTATATTACAAAATGTAGAAAAGAGCTGTTTGTGTGCATTGCTTGAAATAGTGGCGAAATGGAGTGGAATATGTGGGATTAGGATGGTGGGGATGGGAAATCTTGTTATAACCGTGCTGAATAATCACTGCTGTGTATTGCTGAGGTATCATGCTTTCTTCTAGGTGAAGAAAAGAGGTCCTACAGTGATGGTAACACCCTCACCCAAACGGTGCAGGACTGATGATGCTGCAACACAAGGGAACCAGAGCCGAAGCATATTCCAATACTTAGAGTGACTGACAGGTCAGAAGAAGCCAGGCAAAAGAAAACAGTTTTCCCTTGGTACGTGAAGCTAGAGATTTGCAAAAGTATATACTGCGAGCGGCAACAAGACACGATGCAATTACTGGCCCTGGAGCGACAAACTTTCAGCTCTCTAACGATCACAGGCTCCCCTACTGCCAGACAAGTCTTCGTATTTCCTGCGAGACCTGTCCCAGTATTTCAGGAAAACCAGCACAACTTAAAAATCCATGCTTTGGATGGGCAGAGGCTGAGTTCATACTTTATGCCAAAGCATTACTGAAATTACACTACAAGACACAGATCTAGTGAAGTACAGCGCCGCAAGTGTTTTGATTCAGTGTTACTTCCTCCTGGCAATTCTGTTAGTGGGGGCAGTCTGTATTTAGAGTAACTGGATCACCTCGGTGTATGGAGAACAGATCTATAAAGGACAGAGGGCTGCATTATTGGGTGGTTGGGAGGGAGGTGTGGTGTCTCTAATAGCAATGATTTGCCCGCACTGTTTACAATTGCAGTATTAAGGTATCGCTATCTTCCTTTTATACCTACTGCTTTCTCTAATGCTGACCATAGACAGACTTGATATCCCAAGAGATTCTTGTTTACATTTTCGATACTTTTTTTGAAAGCTAACCCTTTATTTATAAAACAGATAACTAGAGGGGAAAGAAAAGCTACCCTTTTACAGACAAACTTCACATACATGTAGACATGATGGGATGATGCGAATGTGAAAAGGTTTTTTTTACACAAATGAAAACTTATTTTTTTAAATTGTCTGTTGCCTTATTTTGGACCGAGGCACCATCTTCCATGAGAATTCACTCTTTGTAGTGCGGACAGAAATGTAAGGCCTTCTTTGAAATGAAGAAACAAGGTTTGATACTAAAGAAGAGTCATTATTCCCAACAATCCTAAATTCTAAGGCAGAAACAGTGTGTGATGTACAACATGCACTTGGCTATACTGTGACTGTGTGAAACTAAAACGTATTCATTGTAAAAGTCAGGCTAATTCTTAAACACTTCACATGTTCCTAAGGCTTGATTTAAGATGCTGACTCGATCACAGAAGAATCCTGATTTGTACATTTTGTAATTTGATAAGCACACTTTTGTGTGTTGGGTGGTGTAAAATATTTTAATGTATATGGTGTTCATAAGGAACTAGGATGCTATTGGAGTGAAATATACAATAAATGTGTGTTTTTAATTTTTCTGTGGAAGTTAAAATTAATTTACAAAATAACTTGCACGTGGCTGCATGATATTTCAAAGAATACATTTATCTGCCAAGCTTGCTTTTGCTGTCACTGCTGCCTGCTAGAGGGCCCTGTTATGGGCCAGCACAAAGAGGAACTGCTTCAGTAAAAAGGGTCTTATAACCCCTATAAAAGGCCATATATGGAGTATTTGCATATATGTTGGTGGTGAGAGTAAATTTCCAAATACTCCATATATGGCCTTTTATAGGGGTTATATTTGCATATATGTTCTTGGTGGTGAGAGTAAATTTTCTTAATTTCCTCTTAATAATTTTGATTTTGTCAGTTTCTAGACAAAACTACTTTCATTGTTGGCTAGAGGTGTGCACTTACTGCCTCGCTTTGCCAACTATGAACTGGTGACCTAGAGGTGAAATACACTATATGCTTAGAGTCTGGGGTATGAGTAGACCTACTCATGGTGGCTCTCATTGAGTTAGCATGCCAAAATCATAGCATAGCTACAGCTAGCAAGGGCTAGCTGCCCCAAGTATATACTCATAGGGTCTGGGTGGATTTGTACTCACAGAGGTAGCCACTGTCTCTTTACTAAGGGTCTATGCTATTCAGTCTCTTGGGCTACGTCTACTCTGCAACACTATTTCGGGACACCAGAGTTTCCCAAAATATTTGGCAGCAAGGCTGTGTAAACCTCATTCTACGAGGAGTAAGGGACATTTCGGAATAGCACTTTATTTTGAAATTTGGCTCTGTGTAGACAGCACCAAATGACAAAATAAGCTATTTTGAAATAGTATTGAAATAAGATACCCAATTTTCATAGCTCAAATTGCCTAGCTCATTTCAAGTTACAGAGCAGTGTCAATGCACCCTTGGTGAATTTTAGATCTCATTCAGTATATTCAAATAACTAGTTGCACCTCGTTTGCTTACTCGGTGGGATGGCAGGCAAGATGGTGGAGCCCCAGTACTGCTGGCCCCTCCTTTGGTGGTACAGCTGCCTGCAGTGAACATTGGCTCTCATTGAGTTAGCATGCCAAAATCATAGCATAGCTACAGCTAGCAAGGGCTAGCTGCCCCAAGTATATACTCATAGGGTCTGGGTGGATTTGTACTCACAGAGGTAGCCACTGTCTCTTTACTAAGGGTCTATGCTATTCAGTCTCTTGGGCTACGTCTACTCTGCAACACTATTTCGGGACACCAGAGTTTCCCAAAATATTTGGCAGCAAGGCTGTGTAAACCTCATTCTACGAGGAGTAAGGGACATTTCGGAATAGCACTTTATTTTGAAATTTGGCTCTGTGTAGACAGCACCAAATGACAAAATAAGCTATTTTGAAATAGTATTGAAATAAGATACCCAATTTTCATAGCTCAAATTGCCTAGCTCATTTCAAGTTACAGAGCAGTGTCAATGCACCCTTGGTGAATTTTAGATCTCATTCAGTATATTCAAATAACTAGTTGCACCTCGTTTGCTTACTCGGTGGGATGGCAGGCAAGATGGTGGAGCCCCAGTACTGCTGGCCCCTCCTTTGGTGGTACAGCTGCCTGCAGTGAACATTCTTCAGGATAGCTCTCTCCTGTGGGCTTGCTGTCTCCAGTGGCCACTCCCTCAGTATTGTGTCCCTCCGAACAGTTTAGTCCTGTGCTTTCCATGTTCTGGAAAACAGTCCCTTTCCCATCACTTCCGGTTGTCCTGCCACAATCAAACCCTGAGCTTGCTTTAATTTAGGAGCAGAGGAAGCTGCATACTGAATTTGGTAGTCCTAGCTCTTACTGTTTAGGAGGAGTTCTTGAACTAACGGACTTGAAGACAGACACAGGGACAGACAAACACAAATATCTAAAATATATATGTAGACAGAACAACCCTGCCTTATATTGTTTGGTTTTTTTAAGTTGTTTGCAGTGCTAAAACACCTCCACCGCCTGCAAAATAAAATAAAAAATCAGGATTGAAGCCCTATTGTATGGGGTTTAGCCTAGACACACACTGTGTATTTTTTTCTGTTTCCAGTCTTTACTATTCTTTGTGTGAATGCTTTAAGATTGTTGGTTAAAAGGTGCTACAGAAGTGCAAAATTAGGCTGAGAAAAGTATTTTTCTTAGATTGTCAGTTAGCAGGCCAGCAATGGGCACTGTATTGGAAAAATTTTCTGTCTCATACAGACGCTTGTGCCTGTTGTATAACTCTGCTGTATCTACAAAATGAGCATTCGATTGGACAATCCACAATGCTTGTGTCAGGTTTCTTGGTAATTCCGTGCTCTCTGTATGTGGATTTTTGGGATTTCAGCCAAGTGTGACAACTGCTTCTCTGAGGAGAACGCGAAAGGTGAGTTTCAATGAGGGACTTAAAAGACAAGAGTTGTCCTCTGGTGTCAGGAATTATTTTCATTATGCTGCAAACTAATCTAATTCAGAACAAACTTGCCTACAGGAAAACAACCAACGGACTCAAAATAATTGATTCTTTGTTTTTAAACATATGGTTGTTTCTAACTTTATAAATCGGTTTTGCAGCTTGTGAGAAGGTACGCTAGTTCCCTAAAAGCTCTGCAGACAGTCCCAGCCCCTAAAGAACAACAAGAAAATGCCCATTTATCAGGCTAGAGGAGAGGGGCTAGTTTCTTACGCAAGCCCTAAAACAGCTGAAGGGAAAGACAAGATGAATCATGATAGGCTTCCGTCAGGGAATCCAAAAATAGCCATTGTCCCCAATGTTCCCTCTAATCTTTTTCATCCACATGTAGATTTTTTCCCCATCATTGTGCAAAATACATTTTTTTTAATGTGCCCCAAGGCCAGGGGGCAGAGGAGGGAGTCTAGTTACTGTACACAAGCGTGGCAGGGCCCATGCCTCCAGAAGCATCCAAAGCAGTAGGTGAACAACACAAAGGGATAAGAGGGGGAAATAGGGCGGTCTGTGGTTAAAATTAGGAGCTACATGTGGGAAGCAGCTGCCTGCAGCCTGGGGAGGCCACACGGCAGGTTTTGTGGGTATCATGGTAGAGGTAGAGGAACGTCTTAGGGAGGAGAAAGCATGTGAATAGAGGAAGAGGGTGTGGAAGTGATGCAGAAGCCAGACGACTGACACCGCTGCTCACAATACATTTTTAAACAACATCATGCAGGAAGCAAAACTCTGTGTGGCAGCCCGTCTAGAGAGCCCTTCATGTTACACTTCATTAAATCTCCTCGTGACCCCCTTTAATTTTAAGCTGCCGTAATTATTGCTGATTTGTAAACTCTAGATCCGCTTGTCCTAATGATTACCTCTGGCTGCGTTATGGGGCAAACATGCAGTAGCATGAAAGATATTAAAAAAAAAACAAACCCACACACATCATTAATTTTATTTTATTTTTTAAAGGGAAGAAAGTCTATTAGTATTTAGCCTCTTGCCAGGGTTAGTGGGAGCCTGAGAAAGAACCTTTCCTGAGTCACCAAAATCCAGGTCCAGTGCCTAGTGCAGTGCAGTGCAGCGGCCCCCCCCCCCCCCCCCAACCCTGCATCCCATTTGCAGCAAGATGAGACTCCACCAACCAGTACTATAGAAAGGATTTATTGCTCCGCCAGGATATAGCACAGCATAGATTTCAGGAATCAGGGCCAGGATGCCTCAGACCCCTTGGATTAGGGGGTCCATTGTCATCACTAGACCCTCAGCTAAGGCTGCTTCCTTCATGTTTTCCAGCCAGCAACTGCCCCTTCCCCCAATCCTCCCTTCCTTTGTTCCCTGCCTGCCCTCAGGCAAAAAGACCCAACCTGTCCCACCGGCTATGTGACTTAAGCTGACCCTGCTCCCGATCCTGCCTCATGCTGTGAGCTCTGATAGAGCCAGCAGCGCCGGTTGGCAGCCAGTTGCCCTGGAACAGGGCTGGGAGCCAATGTGTAACCATTATGGTAACTCATGTTTGTCTTCCACATTCTCTCTCAGGACTCTAGCTCATGCTTATCGGATACACATTTAAACAGTTACACTATTACAGTGGTGGCCAATCCGTTGCAGACGAAGAGCCAAAACAGTGGGGGATACAGCACAAAGAGCCGAGGGAAAGAAGTTGAGGGGGAAAAAAAAGCGCTGCCCCCCTTTCAGAGCTGCATGTGGCCCAAGCAGGAGTCCATCTCGCTGTGCCAAGCGGGAAGTGACCCCCGTTGCTTCTTTAAGAGCTGTGTGTGGCCCAAGCAGGCTTCTGTCGGCTGCAGTGCCTCTGGCTCAGTGGAAAGTTGGCACCTGTAGCTCCAGCCCCGGATTTGGTACCTATGCAAGGAGCCGCATATTAACTTCTGAAGAATCACATGTGGCTCTGGAGCCACAGGTTGGCCACCCCTGGGCTAGGTGCTTGCACAATACTTGGCCTGCTATCAAAGCACCCTCTCCGTGGATGAAGAAGAGGCCTTTTCAGCAACAGGGTAATGCACTTTTGATTGTAGTTTGTCATTTCACTTCCCCGCCCGAGTCAGTGTGTGCACCATTGGCCTGACAATGGCTGAAATGCATGGAAACAGCCAATGGTGGGGGTTTGCAAGTTACAAGTGCTTTCTGCAGGAATGGTGTTGCTTCGCTACCTCGTCTGCCCGCCCCCATTGTGGCTTGCCATGTCTCACCCCGTAAGCAGCCTGGGGCAGGGATTTCATTTGTCCAGCACCTAGCACAAAGGGGGACCCAGTTCAAACAATAAGCTCAGGCAATAGAAAACAGTCGCTGGTGTACAGTATGGTCCCTCTTCTACTCTAGGTATGAAGGGTAGGGATGTAGCAATGTTCTGTGTTTATTCATCGCCCTTTTGGGTCGAAGGATCTCAAAGCACTTCGCCATCTAATTCGGCTTCACGCTACCCTTCTGAGTCAGTGAATTACCATCCCCGCTTAAACACAAATAAACTGACATCCCCAGGCCTCCTGTGAACTGGTGACATAGTTAACAAGATTCCAGGGCTGTGTCTAGACTGGCCAGTTTTTCCGGAAAATCAGCCGCTTTT